CTTGGGGGGGTGGAAGAGAGTGAAGGGGGGGAGAGGGCTTTCCCGGCTCCGGGTTCAAGCGAGGGGCCAGGAGAGAAAAGTGGGGCCTGGGGGTGGGGTGGATACAGGCCTTTCCTCCCAGCCCTTCCCCGTCCTGGACCCCTGACTGGTTTTTTTTGGGGGGGGAGGTGGGGGCGCCAGGCCAAAACAAGGGCTGCTCCCCACCCCTCTGAAGGCGAACAGCGCATGCGTGTGAACACGATCACCCCCCCCCAAAAAAAAGGCTTCCTCAGGCTGTTGAGGGGCGAGTGGTCGCCGTGGTGGTCGCCCCTTCGCCCTTGCCCTACGGTCTGAGGGGTGGGGGGCCCTCGCCGGCCGGCCTGCCTTCCTGCCTCTCCCTCCTTCCTTCCCTCCCGCCGCTTCCCTTCCTTCCCCCGGCTCACTCACCCGCAGGCGGCGGCCGCCCCGCTTCTCTCGCCTCCGCTGTTGCTGCTCCTCCTCCGCTTCGCCTCGGCCTCTCCCGGCTACAAATCCCGGCCGCCGCCGGCCTTGACGCCAAGCCTCCGCTCCCCTCCGGACCCGCCTCGGCGATGGGGCGACGCCATCTTGTCTCCCTGCCTCTCACACCCCTCCCTCCCTCCTCCCTCCCTCGTCCTCCGCCGGCGACGTGCTGCGTCACGACGCCGGTCACGTGCACGCCGAAGGAGGCGGAGGAGGGCGCTGGGAGGGAGTGCTGTGTACACACAGGCTGGTCGCGGAGGGGAGAAGCACCAAGAGAGTCCGGCGAAAGATTGAGAAGGAGCACGTCCGGATTCCAATGGACGGTGAGGGGCCGCTTGGGTGGGCAGAGCCACGGTGCAAAGAGTTGCAGCGAGGAAGAGGAGGTAAACTTCCGGTGCCCTTCTGTGTTTTCTAACGAGGGGAAAAAAATCAGCAGCTGAGATGCGCCACAGACCGTGCACAAAAATCAAGGTTTTGGATTTGAAAGGGATTTTTAAAATTCAGATGTTTTTTGTTAATTTTAATATGGTTTATTTATAAAAATCCTGTGAAACAGTTCTGATTCAAAACGTTCTGTAGCTCACTGTGGAACAAGAATGATTAATTATCACGATCTATTAGAAAGCTATAACTAGTTTATCATAGGACCACAAAAACCGTTTTGTCAATTGGGTCCCATGGTTCTATCAGCTTCTTATCAATTATGTAGGTTAATCTTTTTTGAGCTGCATGATCACTGCAGAGGGAGACAGCAGCCACGAGATTAAAAGACGCCTGCTTCTTGGGAGGAAAGCGATGACAAACCTTGACAGCATCTTTAAAAGCAGAGACATCACCTTGCCAACAAAAGTCCGCATAGTCAAAGCTATGGTTTTTCCAGTAGCGATGTATGGAAGTGAGACCTGGACCATAAAGAAAGCTGACCGTCGAAGAATGGATGCTTTTGAATTGTGGTGCTGGAGGAGGCTCTTGAGAGTCCCCTGGACTGTAAGGAGAACAAACCTATCCATTTTGCAGGAAATCAACCCTGAGTGCTCACTGGAAGGACAGATTCTGAAGCTAAGGCTCCAATACTTTGGCCCTCTCATGAGAAGAGAAGACTCCCTGGAAAAGACCCTGATGGTGGGAAAATGTGAAGGCAAGAGGAGAAGGGGAAGACAGAGGACGAGATGGTCGGACAGGGTCATCGAAGCGACCAACATGAATTTGACCAAACTCCGGGAGGCAGTGGAAGACAGGAGGGCCTGGCGTGCTCTGGTCCATGGGGTCACGAAGAGTCGGACACGACTGAACGACTAAACAAAATTCTCATTGGGTCAGAACTTGCCTGGAGTCCTGTGTCCAGTGCTGGGCACCCACAGTGTAAGGAGGAGACCAGCAAGCTAGAACACATCCAGAGGAGGGCAACCAAGATGGCAGGCCCCTATGAGGAACTGTGAAGGAGTCGGAGGCCTTCTGCCTGGATAAGAGAAGCCTGAAAGGTGATAGGGAAACCACTGGCTTAGGTCTCTGGCTGCAAAGCTAGTTGGGAGTTCGATTCTCCACTGGGCCTCCCTGACAAGGGCTGGATTTGATGGTCCATCGGGTCCCTTGCAATGCTACCGTTCCAAGATGGTTAGGTGGTTGGATAGCTCCGTGTTTTAGGCATCTGCCTACAGAGCCAGAGGTCGGGAGTTTGTCTCCCCTGTGTGCCTCCTTGAGAGGGGCTGGTGTCTCCCCTGCGTGCCTCCTTGAGAGGGGCTGGACCTGATGGTCCATCAGGTCCCTTACAGTCTGCAGTTCAGAGGTGGTGGTGGTGGTGATTATATCTGAAGATAATACAGAAAGCTTGTTTTCCGCCGTTTCAGAGAGCAGTACCTGAAATAATTCAAATGACAAGGAAGAGGATTCCAACTGAATATAAAAAATAACTTCTTGACAGTGGGTTTCCAACGTTTGACAATGGAAGCGTCTGGTGTACGTGTGTCATCATTTTGCCAACGATATCCCTCTCCTGTTTAGACAGGGAAACAGGTCAACTTAAGTACAAGAAAATGACTGATACAGATTTAGGGGACAAATCTGGATTTTGTTGTCTATAGATTTGAAAATACACTGCATATATATTTGTAGCTTTGTCTTATAGGATCTGAAATAATTCCAGAGGAATTTAGTTTATCCCCAGGCATTTTCAGCTTAAAGTAAGTTGGGTGCCAGGAAATGCTGTCATTCAGACCACGGAAAAGGTTGGCACTTGGAATAAGCAACTCTGGGCTAGACAGCAGTAGATGGTATGACTCACATCTCTTCCTTTGGAGGTGTGACATCACACTTGTTTCAAAAGTGGGATTGTACCAGCATACAATTCTGATTAAAGTTGATCGGACTCCTGTCGGGCATGCCCCCAGTTGTTTCTCTGTTTGCCCGTTGCAACCGTGGTGGTTTGGCATAATGTTTGATTATATGCTTCTCCCTTCAATCTGAGCAGGATAGTGTTAGTTAAACCCCTTTTTTTCAATAAATAAATAAAAAATATTCAATAAATGCTGTGCTGCTCCTATCTATCTCCAGGAAGTGGCCTAAGGAAGATGGGCGGGGGATTTACCTAAGGGCAAGTGCGCTGGGCCCTGTTTTGACGGTGGTGACCAGACTGGTCCTCTGTCCTGTCATGGCAGCTCCATGTGGGAGCTGGGAAGGGTGTTGGAACATGCTGGGGGGCTGATGCAGGTTGTTGGAGGTGTACTTGTGAATTAATCAACTGCTTATGCTTTGTAGTTTAGTTTTGGGGGGGTATAAGAGTTTTACATGGATTTTGAATTACATCACACTCTGGTTCCCCAACCCCAGTGTCGTTGAAGGAGAAATTATATATTGTATATTGATGTTGCAATTGTATAGTGATTTTTTAACAGATGTGGTAGAATTTAGCAGCCATTCTATTGCTGGCTCCAATGGTGGCTAATGTAAGTAGAATTACATTGTCAGATCGTGTGTTACGCCACCTGGAGCAGAGGTGAGCCACATGGGGTCACCAGCAACCTAAATGGGGCTCCAGCATGTCCTTCCCAATGTATTTGTTTTAAAGTTCACTTAAAACAAAACCCTTGCATTTTCAAATGGTGTGCGAAGCAATATTGCCATGTTGGAGCATTTCCACCCCCTCAGCGTTAGCAGTTTTTTAAAAAAACTTTCCAGATAAAACAAGACTTTTTAAAAAAAAAGAACAGTTTGTGGTAGATTAGAAGCAGGTGTAACCCTCCAGATGTGCTTGTGTGAGTGTGATCCTTTAACTTTGGAGGTTGCCTCTCCCTGATCGAAGTATATACTTCTATATTAAGTAGAGATTTGGTACACACATGCACAATTGGCACAGATTGAGGAGTAAAATATAGGGCAGTACATTAAGGACTGACGTATAATTTGTTGGCTGTGGCTTGCTTCTGGTGTATTAATTTATGACCTAGAACAGACATGTTTTGTTTGTTTTAATGTTCAAAGTGCAAGGCAGGATTGATGTAGGATATTTTTAAAAAGTTCTGTGGGAATGCGTAAGTATGCCCTCCTCTGTCCTAGCCAAACATGTAACCCCTGATTCCCTGCATGTTTTGTCAGAGGCTTGGAATTCAGGGTCACGGGATGGGGTGTCAGCCATGGTAGGAAACAGGGTGTGTGTCATGGAGGGCTAAACAAACCTTTGCTCCCTGACTGTGCAGGAGTCTTCTTAAGGTTATAAACCAAACTTTTCAGGAATTCCCAGAGAGGGTAATGAGACCGAGTGACCACTGCTTCGAAAGACATGGCTAACCCCACCATCCCTCTCTTGCTCCACGTCCTTCACGATTTATAAATTTCCCCTCTGAGCCAAGCTTGCTAAATAGGGTGGACGGGTGCAAACGAGGGCAGGGCATCCCATCCCAACAGGGCAATGGACAGGTGTGGTTTCCATCCCTTGGTACACCTGCTGACATTCTCTCTTATTGGTATATGAGCTTTGTTTTGCTTTTGAGTTGGCCACCAACCCAACACAAAATGGCTCATTTTGTGTTCACTGCCTCCTTTTGTACCTCTCCGCACAGCATTTGAGAGCCTCAGCCGAGACCTACGACATATCCCAGCATCCTTGGAAGCACAATTGCTGGGTCCTCAAGGTGTGACGCTTCAATAGCAGCACCCTGATTGTGAAGGGCCCTCCCATGAAGAACCTGACTGGGATCTTTTGTCTGTTTCACTTCTGACACACAGCTGGACGGTTTGAAAGAGCCTTTGAGTCTCTCTACAATTGATTAAAAAACACAACAATTCATCATCAGCTTCTGGATTATCTTTCACAGCTTTTAATAAATGTTTTTGATTATTTTAATCTGCTGTGAATTGCTTTGGGAGCCCTTGTGGGCAGAATGACAGAGACAGAAATGCTTTAAGCTAATAATAGTAAGAGATCTTGCTCAATCTACATTTTTCTTTGGTTAGTTTCCAAAACAAAACTAAACAAACCACCTTATTTATTTGTTTGTTTATTTTGTAATGATGGTCAGCTTTTGAAATCTCCAGGTGTTTTTTTTTGGGGGGGGGAGGGAAGCTGCAAAGAGTAAGGAGGTTTTTAATAGCTGGTGTATAAAAAAGTCTGCATCGCAAGAGTCTTAAGAGGAAAAGGTGCAGGAGTGACTTAAAGAGATTACCGTCTGCTCTGCGCTTGGCCAGGTCTTACATTATGTGACACATAGCAGGCGAAAATAGGTCACCTGGCAGTTCTGCATTTGAGTATTTTCTGCTTTTCTCCTCTTAGACATTAATGGGATAGCATAAAGATTTTAACAGTCCTGGGGGGGGCTTTTTCCCCTTTGTAACCCTGAGATGGACATAGAGGAATTGACCCTGAAAGCTTGCACAAAACTTTGTGCTTTTTAAAAGTTGGAGGAATAAAGGTATCTGGAGGTCATTAATGGTTTGGGTCGCCCTAACTCAGAAAATGACTTAATATACCAAAATAATAAAATGTATCTGATGGCAGAAAGTGAGGAGGAATTAAAGATCCTCTTAATGAGGGTGAAAGAGGAGAGAGCAAAAATGGTCTGAAGATCAACATTTAAAAAAAAGATGGTCACTGGTCCCATCACCTCCTGGCAAATAGAAGGGGAAGATATGGAGGCAGTGACAGATTTTACTTTCTTGGGCTCCATGATCACTGTAGATGGTGGCAGCAGCCACGAAATTAAAAGACACCTGCTTCGTGGGAGGAAAGCAATGCGAAACCTACACAGCGTCCTAAAAAGCAGAGACATCACATTGCCAACAAAAGTACGCATAATCAAAGCTATGGTTTTTCCTGTCGTGATGTATGGAAGTGAGAGCTGGACCATAAAGAAGGCTGACCATCGAAGAATTGATGCTTTTGAATTGTGGTGCTGGAGGAGGCTCTTGAGAGTCCCCTGGACTGCAAGGAGAACAAACCTATCAGTTCTGAAGGAAATCAACCCTGAGTGCTCACTGGAAGGACAGATCCTGAAGCTGAGGCTCCAATCCTTTGGCCATCTCTCATGAGAAGAGAAGACTCCCTGGAAAAGACCCTGATGTTGGGAAAGTGCGAAGGCAAGAGGAGGAGAAGGGGACGACAGAGGACGAGATGGTTGGACAGGGTCATCGAAGCGACCAACATGAATTTGACCCAAATCTGGGAGGCAGTGGAAGGCAGGAGGGCCTGGCGTGCTCTGGTCCATGGGGTCACGAAGAGTCGGACACGACTTAACAACGACACAACAAAAAATAAAATGTAGTAACATTTGTAGTAACAAAAAAACCCTACTTTAACTGTATGGAAGTTAAAGTGCCATCAATGCAATAAGACGTCGTACAGCAGCTACGTCTAATGAAGTGCGTGATTCCTACGTTTTTAAAAACATGATTGTTTCAAAATGGAGCCAAACACCTATTCCTTAGCTCTATTCTTGAATGTCAACTTGGAATAAAGCCATCCAGGCGGCTGCTTTGTTTAGACGGACGGAGGCCGTCGTTCACCACATGCCCAAAAGGGGGCTCCATAACCACGATCACGAAACGTCCTCGCGTCGCGCCTGGACCAATGAGCGGCCGAGGGGCGTCTCCCTCTCGCCTCTTTCGGTTGCTTAGTGACCTTCCAGGGCGGAAGGCCAGCCCCGAGCAGTCTCCGGGAGGCGGGCCCTCGTTGCTCAGCGACGGCTGTTGCGCAGGGCCTTTCGTCTGCGTGCGTGAAGCGCCCAGAGGGAGCTGCCGTAAAGCGGAGCTGCCGTAAAGCATTTCCCCCCTCTGTCTCCCCACCACTTCCGACGGGATCCCGCCGCCGGGCGGGCGCAAAATGCCGTGAGCGGCGGCCGGGCCCGGCCTGTGTGGAGGACAGTCCGGAAGGCGGTCGGTCGGGTCGGGCGGCGAAAGAGTCCGGGAGCGGGAGGAGGGCCAGGCCGGAGGGCGAAAGGGGCGACCCGGCTCCGTCCCATGCCGCGTCGGCGCCGGGCGGGCCCTGCCTTCCCTTCCCCCTCCATGCGGGGCCCTTGGAATGCTCTCATGTCTCATGGAGCACGCTGTCATGTATGGAGGTGGATGTCTCAGTACAGGATTAGCTCCCTCCCAGCCTGTGGTCATGGTCATCCCCCCACACATGGGGAGTCGGTGCTCCTTACCTGTTGCTGGGTTGCAGAAGCTGGCCACCCTCTCCGGGGCCCCCTTCATGTAGAGCTCGTAGGCTTCCTTGCCGAGTTCTTGGGTCAGGACGGACATCCTCTGCAGAGCGGAGGAGAAGGGGAACTGGCGCAGGATCGCGATCCCTTCCACCGGGGCCTGTGAGGGACAAAAAGAAGACAGGGCCTGGCTGGGCATCTCCGTGCAAGCTGGCACCCAGGCTGCCCTGAGGAGCCCCCAAGGGGTTCTATCCGGGGGACAAGGTGGGCAAGACGGAGCAGCCGGGTCCTTTCCAAAAGCCCGCTGGCCCTTGGGGTTCCGCTCCGCCCTGGAAGAGAAGCCCCTGACCCAGCCCGACCTGCACCCGTGGATTCACCCCTCTTTTCAGTGGTTGCCCAAACTCTTGTCCCCCCGGAACGTCCCCGTTCAGAACAATTTCACAGGATGGTTTTTCTGGACAGGCAGAGGTCCCTGTGGACGCCTCCTCCCGGCTCTCCTCTTCCTCGCCTCCTGTGCTCAGGAGGGCAGCTGAGGCTCACCCACTCAGCATCCTCCTTCCCGTGTGGGTCTCCCCTCATTTTAGGGGGGGGAAACAACCACCCGCTGTCCTTGGACTACAAGCCCCAGAAACAGCACACACATACATCCCCGCACCTGGGAGTTGTAGTCCAAGAACACCTGGGGACCCAAGGCTGGGGACCCCTTCCCCCGAAATCTGGCTGCCCTGCGGTTTGTTTTGGAGGGACCGCCGGGGGGTTCCCAGGCAAGCGCCTTTTCTCTCCTCCTCCTCCTCCCCCCACGGGGTTCCTGGACTACAACTCCCAGCAGCCTTCATCACCTGCTGTGCTGGCCGGGATTTCTGGGAGTTTCAGTCCAGGAACATTTTGTGGGGGGGGGGAACCACCTTAGTCTTTGTGAAACACTCGGGCAACCGCTGGCCGGGGGATCGGGCTCCCGGGGCCGGTGCAAGCGGAGGAGGAGGAGGAGGGAGGCGAGCGCCTGAAGGGCCCGCAGGGGGATGATGGGTTGCAAGCGGGGCGAGCGGAGGTGCAATCCGGGTCCGGTCCAGAGGAGAGGGATCCGGGCGCAAGGCCGGGCTGCCCTGCGGGGGGGGGGAGGGAGAGAGAGGCCCCTTCTCCTCTTTGCAGAGGGATCGCGCCCC